GTTACAACTGTAGCTGAAAAAAGATAGAAAGGCGTTTCCGTTTTTGTTAGGCATATTTCGTATAGAAAAACTTATCTAATTTTAGATTCCGAGACGCACATACACACATACACACACACACACACACACACACACACACACACACACACACACACACACACACACACACACACACACACACACACACACACACACACTCTCTCTCTCTCTCTCTCTCTCTCTCTCTCTCTCTCTCTCTCTCTCTCTCTCTATCTCTCTCTCTCTCTCTCTCTCTCTCTCTCTTTGTGTGTGTGAAAAAAATAAATAGTAGTTAGTAACAGTTGATTGATTGACAGTTGAGAGGCGGGCCGAAACAGCCGAGCTCAACCCCCGCAAGCACAACTAGATGAATACAACTAGCTAAATACTATTACAAAGTTTTCTTATGCAAACAGAGTGATAGACGGTTGGCACAAGCTAAGTGAGAAGGTGGTGGAGGCCAAAACCGTCAGTAGTTTCAAACCATTATACGACAAAGATTACTGGGAAGACGGAACACCACGAGCGTACCCCCTCATCCTGTAACTACACTTAGGTAATCGCAATTAGATAATTACACACACACTTACAGCACATTCCAACACATTCATAATCCCACACATAAATACAAGGAAACAAGCGCCATAGAGAAACAATAAATTTCCATCTGAGTCATTAGCATGTCAAAAGTTAAGAAAAAACAAATGACATTAGACGTATAGCAGAAAAAAATCTGTCACGGGGATGACGTTACAGGGTTGAAAACTTAACAAAAGTTATCGTGATTATCGGTCTCTGAGAGATTAGTCACGCATCTCGTTATCAATATAGTAAATTAAACTTTGCAAATATGTGAGATAATATACTTTTTATTGATACATTCTATATTATACACTATTGAATAATATCACTACAAAAAAACTAGATATAAAACCATTCTTGTTTTGTGTATATAAACTCTCATCACGCGATCTTTGTGGTTCACAATGGCGTTTTTTATTGATACAGAAAATATATGAATAAAATATATTATTTGTTAAATTGGAATATTATACATGATTATTACTAACCTAGAGACGACCTTAAAATTGTCTTATTCTGGAAATTGCTTCATAATTGTTCTTGACCGGGAAATTTCTTGAGAACTAAGCTAACTTGGTAACATCTCCAAAACTGTGTTATCCTGAAAATTACTTCTGAAAACTGTATTATCCTGAAAATTACTTCTGAAAACTTTGCTAATCTGAAAATTACTTCTGAAAACTGTGTTATCCTGAAAATTACTTCTGAAAACTGTATTATCCTGATTATTACTTCTGAAAACTTTGCTAATCTGAAAATTACTTCTGAAAACTGTGTTATCCTGAAAATTACTTCTGAAAGCTGTGTTATCCTGAAAATTACTTCTAAAAACTGTGCTAACCTGGAAATTACTTCTAAACTGTGTTTTCCTGAAAATTACTTCTGAAAACTGTGCTATCCTGAAAATAACTTCTGAAAAACTGTGTTATCCTGAAAATTACTTCTGAAAACTGTGTTATCCTGGAAATTACTTCTAGAAAACTTTGCAATCCTAAAAATAACTTGAAAGCTGTGCCATCCAGAAAATAACTTCAAACTCATGCCAGCCTGGATGGTTCATCACAGTTACCAGTACTCATAACCTGGATGATCCATCACAACCGTTGTTAACCTAAAAGCCTCATCACAATCATTATTAAATCTGATGAATCGTTACAAACTATGGAAGGTCCAATGCAATTATTTTTAACTGTGACATTAGTTCAGAAGTGTTGTTAATATGGAAGGTCCGGCACAATTACTGCGCCCTCAGGTGTTCTTTGTTTACCTGGAAGGTTGGGGACATGGTAACCATGGTTACAGTGTCAGGCCGGTCAATTGTATTAATTGGTAACGTGAGCATCAGTCACGTTAATTGGCGAACAGTCACAATTCTCGGCACTTGGAGAGTGTCAGCACACACACACATACACACACACACACACACATTTTACCTGTTGACTGACGGTTGAGAGGCGGGACCAAAGAGCCAGCGCTCAACCCCCGCAAGCACAACTAGGTGAGTACACACACACACACACACACACACACACACACACACGCACACACACACACACACACACACACACACACACACACACACACACTCACACACACACACACACACACACACACACAGCCGCTAGAAATGCGGGATCCAAGAGCGAACGTTCGATCCTGCAGGCACAAATACGTGCGTACACATACTACGCATGTGCACATTCAAAAAACGGTTCATCCTCAAAGCGGTCCAATGGTAAAGTAGCCGGCTTAGCAAAGCCCACGATGGATAATGGAACGTACCTATGTGGATAAAATGTTGTTTCTCCAGAGGGCGCTCAGGACAATTCTGTATAAATTCAATTACAGCCATTCACATTGTTCGTGTGATCTTTAGTTTGGCAATTTAAGAGCAAACTTTTGGCCAAAGAACATTAATTAAAATATTTTTTTAGTTCTCGGGAACATGGCATAGAAAATTCACTCCTCTCTCTCTCTCTCTCTCTCTCTCTCTCTCTCTCTCTCTCTCTCTCTCTCTCTCTCTCTCTCTCTCTCTCTCTCTCTCTCTCTCTCTCTCTCTCTCTCTCTCTCTCTCTCTCTCTCTCTCTCTCTCCTCCCCCTTGGTCGCTCGTTACTGGTTGAAGGGTTTTACCATCAGTCAGACAGAAACACTGTGGAAATGCAAGAGGAAAACCATCACATAAATTGTGTCCTCACTTAATTGAATACCTTGACTGTTACTGCCCATATCTGTGTTATCTTATGGAGTTCATATTTTCTTGTGTTTGGATTAATAAAAGCCAAGTTAAATTAATAAATAAAAGCCAATAAATTATTACAAGTAACCACACTAAATATTATTATTCAGAATGTTTAATATATTTCTTTTCTTTAACAAGTGTTTCATTAATATTTAGTAAATATATAATAATGATATTAAAAATAAAATTAATAATATAATAATAAGAAGAATTAATAATAAAAATAATATAAGAATAATAAGAAGAATTGATAATAAAAAATTTAACACTATTAATAAGAATTAATATTAATATGAATAATAATGTTAATATTATTAATAACAATAATTATTATTAAACAAATCCACAAGGGCCGTAACGAGGATTCGAACCTGCGTCCGGGAGCATCCCAGACACTGCCTTAATTGTTCATTTGATGCATCACGTTAGTGTGATCTCTCTGTGTAATACTTATTATTATTCCGTCTAATATTGAATAAGATTTTCAGGTGTGTTACTAACTGTTCTACAAGTGTTCTACACACACACACACACACACACACACACACACACACACACACACACACACTCTTCACCAAAATCTGACTGCGAACGAGAACTTGCGTAAGTGAAATGTGGGTGGGTGAGTCCGTAGACTGGTTTGCTGTATTCATGCTTGTTACTCCGAAAAGGTTACACACGAATATGTCCATTAGAAATTAATCAAATTCCTGGAAGTTAATATTTTTCCTTATTTTGTATATTCTGTGTTTTGTGAACATAAAGAATTTGTAAATTTAAATTGCATTTAAATTATTGCTATTAATATTGTTTTATAAATTATTATTACTACCATAGATAAAATTTGTTATAATTAATATTATAACAAATTTTATTATATTAATATTAAACAAATTAATATTATATTAATTTATAAAAAATATTTTAGTTTAGTCATATTTTTTATCGTCGTATATTATTTATTTTAGCAGAACTTTAGTAAAAAATAAGTATATTAAGTTGTGTAATTGGTAATGGGAGTTTAATGACAAATAATGACATCATCAAAAAATAATTTTATTGATTCTCTTCAAAATCAGTTATCAATCAACTAATTTAATAGTCTCTGAAAAATATGAATATTCTGCAGAATCATTCCACAACAAAGAAAACATGTATGATTTTAATATTCATTTAAATCTTTACTTTAGGCCTATTAGAATCAGGTAATAATCCAAAGTTCTAAAAATTGAGAATATATAAATACATTTAAACGCGATAATTTTTTGGTCAGTTTTAAAACCTCTGAAAAAAATTCCGTTGAATCTCTTGATTTAATTCAATTGATAAATAGGCACTGAAGCTGAGGGTTTAGAATTATATTTAGTCATGTATGTTTCAGAGTGCTTTAAGACACGTTACTGATGGTATCAGGAGAAGTAACGAAAAGTATCAGAAGTATCTGAGTGTTTCAGGACAAGTATCTGAGTGTATCAGGAAAAAAAAACACTTAAATTATAATAATAATTCTTTCTCAGTGAAAGAAACTCTTTCAATGAGAGTTTCGTAAAATATAGCGATCAAAGAAACCTGATTGGCACACTCAATTTCGATTGATAAAATTCTCGGTATGTTCTAATTAATTCATTATGAAAATTATTTATATTATAGACTTCAATACTCGTTTTTATATTAGAAATATCATCGTCTTTACACGTTTTATATTTCATTAAATTCTTAAACCTTAACCCTAGCGTCAATTCGCTCTAAAAAATAAAATACACAATTTTATTAGGATAAACGTTTGTAAATTATTTAAGCATGTCGTGTCTCTTGAATTCTTTCACCGTCAAAATATTGAGAATATTTGGTGAAATTCCATTCGCAGTTAATTTAAAATTTTCAGAACCAGCTCAGATGTCATATCTTTTTCTTCGGAAAACTTTGAACGCAATCTCCATAATTTCTCATTTTTTTTTAGCAATAAATACGCTCTCCATAATTTTCGAGGAAATTAGTTGTTTTTAATATTATCGCATTTATTTAATTTTAAAGGTATAATATTTTGCCTTCTCTGGGTATTGAATTGTTCCTCTGATAGTCAGATAATAAAATTAATTATTTATATTTTATATATAGACTTTTCATCTGATTAATTTTTATATTTTCCTTTTACAGGAGCCGCCGGATATAAGCGTCGCCCAGAAGGTCATCATAGGTAAGACAGCTCTGGAAGCTAATTGAAATAACTTCATTTCTTAAATTCATTCCATTTGGATTTATTTTTTCCCTTTCCATCTTTTAGTATAAATTCATTCGTCAATATACCTCTTCGTCGGCGTGATTCTCTGTAGGTCTTCCCATTAGCATCTCTTTCTTTACTCCCAACATTCATTTATGGTTTGAAAGTAATTTCAACTTTTGTTCTGTTCTTCAACATTTAACATTATCTCGAGTAAATATTTTTAATTTCATTTGATTTGCTAACCAGTATTTCAGTTATAATTCTTAACTTTTTTTCCAAAAGAGCGTCCTCATTTTTTTTTAAATAATACTTTCAAGAGTCTACACTTGCATATTTCGGCCGCTATTTATCAAAAATATTCACTTTTATCTTATCATTAATTGTTCTTGCCACATTCCACTAAGCAGTTCTTATCATTCAGTTATCTGTCTGTGTAACTTCGCTGGAGTTTCCTGTATCCACCCCTCCCCCCCCCCCCCTACTCAGCACTTAGGTTCAAGAGTTCAAAGTGTAAAATAAAAGTTCAAAGTGTGCTTCTCCAAGATCCCTATCAACTCATTCGTAATAATTTACCAGTTCTCTCTCTCTCTCTTAACTTTTCAACGTTCAATTTTCATTTTCCCATTTGCCATATACATCAACAATCGCAATCTTAACACTTTCTAACTTCAATTTCACGTTCAAACAATTTAAATTACAAACTCTTTGTCTAATATACTGGGCCCTCCAGGCCTCAGGATAGTAGACAGACTAAATTTGTTTCATCTTCTTTAAAAATTTTATCGAAACACAAATTGTATATCAATATTATGTTAATACTCTGCCAATTAGCTGTTACAATGACAGTTATGTTATTTATTAATCAGTCAGCATAGAGAAGAAGAATAAATTAAATCCCAGGAATTTGAAACCTCCAACATAAACAGAGATTAAGATAGCTTTAATTTGCATTCATTGAATGCAATTTTCAATTGAAAATTGAATTTTGAAAGGCGAAGAAAAAGGGTGACATTGCCTGGCAAGTTCACAAATAGTCAAACTGGATGAGATACAATCGTTGGATCAGAGCGGGGATCGAACCAGCGTCATGGTGAATGCCAAAACGCGTACCATACTCTTCAGTCAAGATATACTACAAAAGCTGTTTACCCAGCACGCTACTGTGGCTGAAAAGACTAAGACTACACCTACCCCAAGATGCTGGTTCGATCCCCGCTCTGCTACAACGATTTTGTCATTTATATATATCACGCTATTGTGATTTCTTTGTGTATAAATTGGATATTTTATTTTTTTTTAAAGATAGCTGAGCAAATGTTAACTTGGTAATAGAGATGTTAATTTATGGAATATATTACTGGGTAACATAATAACGTGGAATATATGGATTGTTGCAAGCGTAGATTATATATATATATATATATATATATATATATATATATATATATATATATATATATATATATATATATATATATATATATATATATATATGTCGTACCTAGTAGCCAGAACTCACTTTTCAGCCTACAATGCAAGGCCCGATTTGCCTAATAAGCCAAGTTTTCCTGAATTAATATATTTTCTCTAATTTTTTCTTATGAAATGATAAAGCAACCCATTTCATTATGTAAGAGGTCAACTTTTTTTTATTGGAGTTAAAATTAACGTAGATATATGACTGAACCTAACCAACCCTACCTAACCTAACCTAACCTATCTTTATAGGTTAGGTTAGGTTAAGTAGCCGAAAAAGTTAGGTTAGGTTAGGTTAGGTAGGTTAGGTAGTCGAAAAGCAATTAATTCATGAAAACTTGGCTTATTAGGCAAATCGGGCCTTGCATAGTAGGCTCAGAAGTGAGTTCTGGCTACTAGGTACGACATATATATATATATATATATATATATATATATATATATATATATATATATATATATATATATATATATATATATATATATATATGCGAACAAGCCTGAATGGTCCCCAGGACAATATGCAACTGAAAACTCACACCCCAGAAGTGACTCGAACCCATACTCCCAGAAGCAACGCAACTGGTATGTACAAGATGCCTTAATCCACTTGACCATCACGACCGGACAAAATGAGGTGATAGCCGAGGCTATTTGAACCACCCCACCGCCGGCACTCGGATAGTAATCTTGGGCATAGCATTTTACCAAATCACCTCATTCTTTGGGGCACACGTGAGGAACACAAATGCGAACAAGCCTGAATGGTCCCCAGGACAATATGCAACTGAAAACTCACACCCCAGAAGTGACTCGAACCCATACTCCCAGAAGCAACGCAACTGGTATGTACAAGACGCCTTAATCCACTTGACCATCACGACCGGACAAAATGAGGTGATAGCCGAGGCTATTTGAACCACCCCACCGCCGGCACTCGGATAGTAATCTTGGGCATAGCATTTTACCAAATCACCTCATTCTTTGGGGCACACGTGAGGAACACAAATGCGAACAAGCCTGAATGGTCCCCAGGACAATATGCAACTGACAACTCACACCCCAGAAGTGACTCGAACCCATACTCCCAGAAGCAACGCAACTGGTATGTACAAGACGCCTTAATCCACTTGACCATCACGACCGGACAAAATGAGGTGATAGCCGAGGCTATTTGAACCACCCCATTTCGCATTTGTGTTCCTCACGTGTGCCCCAAAGAATGAGGTGATTTGGTAAAATGTTATGCCCAAGATTACTATCCGAGTGCCGGCGGTGGGGTGGTTCAAATAGCCTCGGCTATCACCCCATTTTGTCCGGTCGTGATGGTCAAGTGGATTAAGGCGTCTTGTACATACCAGTTGCGTTGCTTCTGGGAGTATGGGTTCGAGTCACTTCTGGGGTGTGAGTTTTCAGTTGCATATTGTCCTGGGGACCATTCAGGCTTGTTCGCATTTGTGTTCCTCACGTGTGCCCCAAAGAATGAGGTGATTTGGTAAAATGCCCAAGATTACTATCCGAGTGCCGGCGGTGGGGTGGTTCAAATAGCCTCGGCTATCACCTCATTTTGTCCGGTCGTGATGGTCAAGTGGATTAAGGCGTCTTGTACATACCAGTTGCGTTGCTTCTGGGAGTATGGGTTCGAGTCACTTCTGGGGTGTGAGTTTTCAGTTGCATATTGTCCTGGGGACCATTCAGGCTTGTTCGCATTTGTGTTCCTCACGTGTGCCCCAAAGAATGAGGTGATTTGGTAAAATGCTATGCCCAAGATTACTATCCGAGTGCCGGCGGTGGGGTGGTTCAAATAGCCTCGGCTATCACCTCATTTTGTCCGGTCGTGATGGTCAAGTGGATTAAGGCGTCTTGTACATACCAGTTGCGTTGCTTCTGGGAGTATGGGTTCGAGTCACTTCTGGGGTGTGAGTTTTCAGTTGCATATTGTCCTGGGGACCATTCAGGCTTGTTCGCATTTGTGTTCCTCACGTGTGCCCCAAAGAATGAGGTGATTTGGTAAAATGCTATGCCCAAGATTACTATCCGAGTGCCGGCGGTGGGGTGGTTCAAATAGCCTCGGCTATCACCTCATTTTGTCCGGTCGTGATGGTCAAGTGGATTAAGGCGTCTTGTACATACCAGTTGCGTTGCTTCTGGGAGTATGGGTTCGAGTCACTTCTGGGGTGTGAGTTTTCAGTTGCATATTGTCCTGGGGACCATTCAGGCTTGTTCGCATTTGTGTTCCTCACGTGTGCCCCAAAGAATGAGGTGATTTGGTAAAATGCTATGCCCAAGATTACTATCCGAGTGCCGGCGGTGGGGTGGTTCAAATAGCCTCGGCTATCACCTCATTTTGTCCGGTCGTGATGGTCAAGTGGATTAAGGCGTCTTGTACATACCAGTTGCGTTGCTTCTGGGAGTATGGGTTCGAGTCACTTCTGGGGTGTGAGTTTTCAGTTGCATATTGTCCTGGGGACCATTCAGGCTTGTTCGCATTTGTGTTCCTCACGTGTGCCCCAAAGAATGAGGTGATTTGGTAAAATGCTATGCCCAAGATTACTATCCGAGTGCCGGCGGTGGGGTGGTTCAAATAGCCTCGGCTATCACCTCATTTTGTCCGGTCGTGATGGTCAAGTGGATTAAGGCGTCTTGTACATACCAGTTGCATTGCTTCTGGGAGTATGGGTTCGAGTCACTTCTGGGGTGTGAGTTTTCAGTTGCATATTGTCCTGGGGACCATTCAGGCTTGTTCGCATTTGTGTTCCTCACGTGTGCCCCAAAGAATGAGGTGATTTGGTAAAATGCTATGCCCAAGATTACTATCCGAGTGCCGGCGGTGGGGTGGTTCAAATAGCCTCGGCTATCACCTCATTTTGTCCGGTCGTGATGGTCAAGTGGATTAAGGCGTCTTGTACATACCAGTTGCGTTGCTTCTGGGAGTATGGGTTCGAGTCACTTCTGGGGTGTGAGTTTTCAGTTATATATATATATATATATATATATATATATATATATATATATATATATATATATATATGTGTGTGTGTGTGTGTGTGTGTGTGTGTGTGTGTGTGTTGTGTGTGTGTGTGTGTGTGTGTGTGTGTGTGTGTGTGTGTGTGTGTGTAAGTGTGAGAGGGAGTAAATAGCAGCTCACTCGCATGGGCCAATAGGTCTTTAGAAGGTCCCTTCATTCTTATGTGCTCTTCTCATTCTCCTATTCTTTCCCACTTCCTCTTCCTCTTCTCCTCCTCAACTCCACTTCTTCTGTTCCTCCTCTTCCTCCTTCTTCTTCTAATCCTCTTTCCTCTTCTCCTACTACTAATCTTCCTTCTCCTATTCGTGTTTACTTTTCATCTATCTTCCTCTCGCTCCTCTATCACCCGCCCCTTCCCACTACTTCCCTCTAGAAGGGTTTAATCACTTCCGTCTTTGAGCTATGGTAAAGTCAATTGGGCGCGATAATTAACTGCTGGATGGTTGCTTGGCTGGCTGGCTGGCTGGCT